TCAATGGAGAGCCTGATGTGGGGCCTGATTCCATGAACTGTGAAATCATGACCTGAGCCGAGATCGAGTCAGAAGCTTAAGCAACTGAGCTACCCAGCACTCCCCCCCCCCCCCCCCCCGCCATTGTCCTTTCTTTGTCAACCATTTACTGATTTTCATGACTGGTTGTGGAGAAGGGTATTTATTCAGTCCCTTACTCAACAAGTAGTTATTAAGTACTGTAAGATAAACCCTGTTGTGGGCAGTAAGAATAGACACAGTAAATGAAGAAAGCATAAGCAAATCCTTGCCTTCATTGAACTCGCATGCTAGCGGGCTGTAGGAATCATGGTGTAGTCATTAGGTGCTGGATGCTACAGCAAATGGACAAGTTCTCTCAATGGATCAACCGTAATAAAGGTCTATTGTCTGCTCAGCTTAGAGTCTGATGCATGTATTTTTGATAAGGCAGATTTCTATAGTCATACTTTTGCTCTAAGTCCATCTGTAAGAACTAGTCACAAGGCCCCAGCCAGCTGCAAGGGCATAGCTGGGAAATGTGGTTCTCAGCAGCAAACAGACATCTTTGGTGATCAGCAAGTTGACTCCTCACATGGAGAGAGACAGACAAGAAACTGAATAACTAAGCAAATTACTTTTTATGTTAGAAGGTGATAAATGCCTTGGAAGAAAAGCATGGAAAGAAATACAGAGCACGTGGGGTCCCTGGGTGGCTCAGTTGGTTACATACCCGACTTCAGCTCAGGTCAGGATCTCAGGGTTCCTGAGTTAGAGTCCCTCGTTGGGTTTGCTGCTGTCAGCACAGAGCCTGCTTCGGATCCTCCCTCCCCCTCTCTCTGCCGTACCCCCACTCATGCTCTCTCTCTCTCTCAAAAATGAATAAAATTAAAAAAAAAATACAGCATGTGTTTGAGGAATATTGAAATTCACAGAATAGTGAGTAGACTCACTTGGGTGAACAAAGGCTTGAAGCAGGGGAGGGAGCGAATCATGTGGACATATTACTGGAGGAGGGAACACTCAAAAAGGAGGCCATCATGGCTGAGGCAGAGCAAGGCTGACAGAGGTGGGCGATGGGGTCAAAGAGAAGAGGCTGATGGTGCGGGACTCTGGTTTCTTTTCCGAATGGCAAGAGAGGAAGGAAATCAGAGGGTCACATGCAGAGGACAGAAAGGATTTGATATGCATTTTATTAGCCAGACCAGCTGTCGCAGCTACCCTCAGAATGCCCTGGAAGGCATCAAAGGGGAGAAGATGTCCGTGGACTGGACCAAAGTGGCCAAAGTGGCCAAAGTGGACCAAAGTGGCAATGATGGTTGTGATGAGAAATGGCAGGATTCGGATTCGGGGTACGTTTTGAAGGCAAAGCAGGATTTGCAGATGGACTGAAAGTGGAGTTTGGCAGGAAGTTAGGAGAGACTGTGGCCTGATCAATTTCAAGGATGGAGTTGCCAAGAAGGGAGCTGGGGAAGACCGTGGTGGAGCGTATTTGTGGGCGGAGATCAAGAATTTGGTTCTGGATGTAAGGGTTAAATTGTAGTGTAGGGCTAATCTGTAGCCTTAAGAAATAACAGCTTTGTTTTAACACTGTAGATTAAGAGATAACAGCCTTGTCCTATCAATCAAGGGAACAAAAGTTTAAGGGAAATCAACTGGTTTAGTGTTTGATTGGACTGGGGGGCAAGGAAATGTCTGAACTGTTTCCACCCCCATCTGGGAACTATTTCTTTGTTCTGTCCCCAGGTGATGAGAAGACGATGTGGTCAGCTATAAAAACTCTGTACCCCTGTACCCCGGCTGTTTGAGACCGCACTCTGGTCAAGAGTGCCGGTCCCAATCGGCTGGCTTTGCCTCTCATTGCACTAAATTTTGTTGTGACTGTCACTGGTGCCGGTAGCATTCTGTTTCAGGAGTCGTGTGGACAACACTGGACACAAGGAGTTTGGGATGTTTATGAGAGATCGAAGTGGGAAGGCCATTAGTCTGAAGGTCAGGAGAAAGCCCTGGACTCGAGCTGTAGGTTGGAAGCCCTACTTTAGGCTAAAGATGGTATTTAAAGCCTTAAGACGGAGATTGGCAGGGGGGGGGGGTGGTGCTCAGGGGAGTGCAGCAAACGAGACCCAAGGACAGAGGCTTGGGATTGAAAAGAAAGTGTAGCCAGTGAGGGGGATGGGGAGGAAGGACTGGAGCAGTGTTTTTATCAGATCAGAATCACAATGAAGTGCCACTAATGTTGGCCAGGGGGTCTGTTTCCCCCCCAACTTCATTCCTATTTGTGCATCTCTAGTTGTGGGTGGTCAGTGTGGCCTGTAGAGATGGGATGGCGGGCCCTCAGCCCTTCCTTCCATACTTCAGCACTATTTCACCACCACCACCCTACTCTGATAAACGTGTGGTTCAGGGGTCCCTGGCTGGCTCAGTCAGTAGAGCAAGCGACTCTTGATCTCCGGGTTGTGAGTTCGAGCCCCACGCTGGGGGTAGAGATAGATTACTTAAAAAAGAAACCAAAAATCAATGTATGGCCATTCATTCGACAAATATTTTGCTAAGCATCTATTTATGTGCCAGGCCCAGGTCTGGGCCCTGAGTGAACAAACCAGACGAAGCATGTGTCCTTGTGGAGCTTACACTCTAATGGGGTTTGGGGCAGATAACCGACAAGCACCATCATTTCTAATGCAGGGTAAGAGAATAGAGAGTGACGTGCTTTGGTTAAGAGGATCAGGAAAGTCCTCTTGGAGGAGGTGACATTTGAGAGCTGAGTGTTGAAAAGATCATGGTCATCAGATCTGGGGCAACCGGGTTCTAAGTGGAAGGAAGCTTGAGGTGCTGCAGGGGGCGACAAGGCCAGTGTGCGGGATCACAGTGAAGGAGGGAGGGAGGCAAGATCTACCTCACACAAGAGCCTACGGGCCACAGTTGGGCATTTGGATTTTATTTCAACTGTTAAGGGGCTGCCTTTGATGGGGTGAAGCAGAAGAGTCAGGTATTTCCATTAACATTTCAGGCATGCCACAGGATTGGTCGGGTGGAGGGAGAATGGACCACAGGGGCCGAGCGGAGGCCAGGAGAAGAGTTGCCATCTAAGTCAGGCAACAGGTGGTGTCTTGGACAGGGATAAAGCAGGATGCACCCTGGAGTGGAATGGGTCAGGCAGTCACAGAATAAATTGTGTGCCTCTCTGGGTCAAGGCCTATGCAAGGCAAAGAAAGGTACCCACCAAGGAAACGTGGGAAAGGCACAGTCCTTGCTGGCGTTTTATTCAGCGTTTAATTTTAGGAAACTCAGAACACACACGTGAAGTGCTGCTATGTAAACACAAAGCACCCATTAAGTAAGTACACAGGGGTATCTAAGCAAGTGTAGGAGAAATGGAAAAGGAGCAAGTGGGGGTACTGGGACGAGGGTGATGAGAGAGCGTGGGGCAAGCTGAGGGCACAGTACAGGCTAACAGCAATACCTCCCCCACCCCCGGTGGGGGAGGGGGGCATGTAAGATATTCCTTGGACACTCCCAGCTACCCCAAAACAGGAAAGGACAAAAAACAAATGAGTCTGCATAGTTTACAAGAAAAAGACAATCTTATCACTGGCCTAAAGTCCAGGAACTCCCTACAGTCTTAATGTTAATGCTTTGCTAGAGGGAAAAACAAGCTTAGCTTGACAATAGCTAGGCCTTAAGTAAGTCTTTAGCATGTGAAAGTCTCTTTGGAAACTCCCTGTGGACTTTATCTCCCCCGACTCCATAAAATGGTCACCCCCCCCTCGCCAACTTGCAGTGCAGCTGTTCCTGCCCATGGATCCTGTCCCCCAGCTTTAATAAAATCACGTTTTGCACCAAAGACGTCTTCAAGAATTCTTTCTTGGCTCTGGACCCCACGAGCCCCCCATCAGCCCAAAAACCTTGGGGGCCTCCTTTAGATGGGAGGGGAAGGCCATTATTCAGATGGCAGCAACAGAGGGCCCTCTGGGCCACGCCCCCTTGTCCACAGGCCCCATGTGGATGCCTGAGCCCAACAGCTAAGAACCTGGCTCCAGGCTTCAGTTTCCCAAGCTCAGAGAAGTGGGTGACTCAGGGGAGGTCCCTCCCCAGCACGCCTTGTTCTTTGCCTGGAGTGACTCATTACCTTGTTCCCTCCCTCACGGCTGACCCTGGGCCAATCCCTTAATGAGTCTACACCTCATTCTACTCATTTGGCCGGGACAATTGCCTGGTGGATTTTTTTTTTTTTTTTTTTTTTGGCTCCCTGGGGCAGGGCTCGTGTCCGCAACCATCTAGGTTCCTCGAGAGAGAGGGCTGTGGGTCTGGAACAGAGCAAAACCCTAGGGTAGACCCAGGCCCTAGGCACTCCCCGTGCCCCGAAGAGGGCTTTAATGCCCATGCATTCTTCTCATTTCAGAGCCCTTGAACAGCATTTGGTAGGGAACACGGTTTCACAAGCACTGATGTCCTAGAGGATTCTCCCTTGGACACTTCTTTGTAAACGCTTGCTTGGTGGGGGGGATGGGGCGGGGGGGGGGGGGGAAGCAACCAGAGTCGCCGTAAAGGGAAAGAGCTGGGGGACTGACAACGAGGCTTCAGGGGGTATGGGACCACTGCGCTTGAGTGAGGACGCGTGGTGTGGTCGCCGCGCTCAATCGAAAGCCGGCGGCGGGTATCCGGCAGAGCTCTGCGCCCTACAAAGAGTCCGCAGGCGGGAGCAGAGGCCCCTCCGGCGTGCGTGGGCTGCAGGGTTGCTCGCCCCGCGTCTCGTAGCCCCCTCCTTAAAGCGAACCCGGGCAACTCCGGACGTCCCCCCACAACCCCCCGGCGGGAGTGGCGCCCGCGGTCCTCCCCTAGCTCTGCCTCCGGGGCTCGCCGCCCCGCTGGGACCCGGCAGGTGGACCCGGGTGGGCGCACCTTCCTCCCAGCCCTGGACTCTCTCCGCTCGCGGACTCTCCCGGAGCCCTGGCGCGCCTCCCCGTCCGGGCCAGAGCCCGCAGCCTGCGCCCCCGAGTTACCTGCCCCAGGAAGTCACAGTCCACTCTCAGCCGGGACTGCAAATGGGTGGATACGGCAGTGCCCAAAGCCACATTCCTAGGGGAGGGGTCCCCACCTAGAGGGTCACGGATCACGTTACCGGCCGAGGGGAGGAGACAGCTGAAGGGAGAGCAGACGGGTAAAAGTTGCATTCAGCTTCTTACTTCCCCCCAACCCCCAAACACGCTTTGACGCCGGGGATAGTGTCCGCCCAGGTCCTGGAGTCCGAGGGCCTCGGAGCGCTTTGCTAGGACAGAAGCACCTTTCCACCCGCGGATGCCGGAGTCAGAGCGCCTAGGGGGCTGCGGGGCTCCAGGGCCCTGCAGGCGACCCCCGGATGCCCCGGGGCAGGGAGCCGGCCACGAGCCCGCCGCCGGGCACCGAGGATCTAGAGCAGTAACAGACGCATAAATGCGCATAAATAAATCAATGAGCAGCTCTCTGCTGCCAGCAGCAGGGAAACCTCGGGCTGATTAAATGCAGACGTGGGGTGTCTGCCAGGGCAGGAGGGCGGCGGGGCAAAGGGAACAGGCGTGGAGACGAGGGGTGGGGGGAAGGGAGCCCAGAGGCAGGAGCAAAGAGGAAAACCCAAAGCCACATTTTTAAAATGGGGGTGAATTTTAAATGCAAACAGCCCGGAGGAGGGGAGGGGGCCGGTCTGCAGGCGCCCGGGCCGGCCCGCCTGCCGGGGCAACTTTCCGGGCGGGAGGTGCGGCCGGAGGGGCGGCGCCGGCGGCGGGAGGCGGGAGTCGGGGGCCGAGGGGGGGAGTCACTTTAAAGGCTCTTTCTTACCCATAATGCTTTGTGGGGACGTTGACAAGTGGATCCAAGATGGCGTAGAAAGTAATGACAGGTAAGTCCTGACTTCCCCCTTCTCTGCTGCTGGGACCGCTCCGCGAGCTGCCGGAGCCCTCTGGGGAGGAGACCTGACTCCCCTCCGGTCCCCGAGGCCCCGGGAGGGGCGTCCCTCGGACGGGCTGGGGACTCAGGCGGCCGCGGCGGGGCCTGGGAAGCGGGGCTCTTCGAGGCGAGGCCCGGACGCTGGGGCTGTTTACAGCTTCTTCCCCTCCTCGGTCCCCTTCCCCTCCGCTGGGGGCCGCGGCGCCCGGGGCCCAGGCGGTGGAGGGGGCTTTGCAGACCTGGGCCGCGAGCCTGTGGGAGGTTTCTCCAGCCGCGGGCACTCGGGTGGGGGGGGGGGTCGAGCCGCCTTGCACGCTGCCCTCCTCCGGGTCGCGGCTGGGGGTGGGGAGCGTGCGGGCCTCCCACGCCCCGCTCGATCGCCCCCTCTGGGCTCGGACTTGCAGCGGTGGGGCGGGGGCCGAGGGTGGGCGTCGGCAAAAGTGGGTCAGGGGTGCGCCCCCTTCCTCCCCCGCCCGGGGCTGTTGCCCGAGCTTCACTTTTCTCCCCCCCCCCCTTTCTCCGCCCCCTCCTCGGAAATTCTCATTGGCCCACAAGCGCATCAACAAAAATAAAAACTATCAAAAAAAAAAAAGACTATCTTTTCCTGGAGATTCTTTTAAGACTCCCCTTTCCTCGGGGTAAGGGACTGCAGTTTTATTTAGGGAACTTTGATTCCTCTCTCCTCAAATTATTTGAGCTTTCTGCACCCTACCCTTAGCTGAGGATCCTTCAGACAGGGCTGGAAGCCAAGGGTCTTAGTATTCTTGGATTTAGATCCTCCGGTTTTGTTTGAAACTCAAAACTGTTATTCCTTCTCCTTCACAACTTAGACTTTTCGGGCAAATCGTTAATATGTATAATTCCAGAGACAGTGGATGCCGGGTGTGGGTGGGAGGTGGGCTGGGGAGGGAGGAGTTCTGGCTAGTTTGTTCTTAATTTTGCCCTGTCTTAAACTTACATTAATGAGGTTTCTTGTCCCTTATTTCTTTTTTTTTTTTACTTCTTTGAAAGTAAAATCAGTCAGTGTTGAAAGAGATGACTTTTTTTTTTTTTTTTTTTACATTTTGGATCTTAAGAGAATTTTATAGTCTATTCTGCCATCACACAGAAAGGAGAAGTGCTTTTATTTTAAACTAAAACAATCATTTACAAAACTGCTTACTGTACCATTTTGGTAACTTTTTCCATTTAAATTTTAGAAGCCCTTTTACTTGGGGCTGATAAAGTTATTTGCTACTGCTGATGCCTGTTATTGGTGGTGTACAGACGCATTTCACTTTTCTATTTGCCTCAGGAATTGGATGAAGTAATTGATCACTAAAGAACTACAGTGCTGATGAGATGTGTAAGGTGAGACTGGAGTTAAGAATGATTTACCTTTTTCCCCCCTTCTTTATTTTAACTAATGCATAAGGGTGAGGCTGAAACTAAATTGACGGGACCATCTTTATTTTCCAAACATCTCAATCAATCACATGGGTGTATAGGCAGGGCTCCATTTAGAAAAGAGAAATGTGTCCTATGGACCAAACTTTCCAGTTGTCGAACATCCTCAGCTATAGTGGAGCGTATCCACAGCCAAATGTTATTTGCAACTCTCCTTGATCAGTATCTTCACCAGGGGTCATTATATTTAAATTTCCTTGTGTAATTTCAGTTGGATGTCTTAATTTCTTGTGTGTATTGGGAGCCATCACATACTCCACATTGAGCGTTAGTGATTGTTTATGTGGATTTTGTGTGTCCACAGTTCCTGGGACTCTTGTCAAATATAACCTTTCCTTTGGAAAGATTTATTTTAGGCATCAGTCTCTCCTTTTGTTTTATAAAAACTGGAATAACACTTGTCACGTGGTTATTTTGAAATAAAAAACAAGGGTGTTGAGATTTTACTAGGGCTAAGACTGGACTGTCAATTTTTGGTCATATGTGATATGTGAATTGGAAGTGTTGCTTTAATCTAATTTAGAATGCTTTGGATTTAAAGGACATTGATAGAGTGTTCGTGAACAGTTATAATTCAGTAAGGAGGAGGAGAGAAGTTTGCTAATTTTACATTTTTCACAAGCACTTTTCTTAACTTTAAAAATATTTTGTTATGGTTTATTGAGAAAATGTAGAGTTATTATGGGAAATTGGTCATTGTTTGTGTCTGTGTGTGTGTTTTTTCCCCAACACATCTGGGTAGCCTTTGGATTTTGAGATCCTGTCACAAACTTCCTATCTATCACAATATCTATTTAAGAAGAATAAGCTGTGCTTTATTTTTTTTCCAGATTGAGGCATACTATTGACATTTTGCTTTACCAAAAAAAAAAAAAAAAGGAAACCCCCAAAACAACAAAAACAAAACAAAACCGTACACACAAAAACCTGGGAGGGGAAGGTGGACATAAATCAGTCATCCTTCTGTAAGTGCACAGGCCACGTTTGCTTGCGTTTGAAACTTGTGTGTATTACATAGATTTTTATTTATTTTTTATTTTTTATTAAAAAAGTTTTTTTTAATGTTTATTTTTGAGAGACAGACAGTGTGAGAGGGCAAGGGGTAGAGAGAGAGGGAGACACAGAATCCGAAGCAGGCTCCAGGCTCTGAGCTGTCAGCACACAGCCTGATGCCGGGCTCGAACTCACAAACCGAGAGATCATGACCTGAGCTGAAGCCGGACGTTTAACTGACTGAGCCACCCGGGAGCCCCCATAGATTTTAATTTTTATTCTTTGCTGAGCAAATGTGGATTTTAAAATTTATTTTCAGCTTACAGATAGAGGCATATTCATGCCTTAGACCTCCCAATCAAGACCTTTTATTTTTATTTATTTATCTATTTAATTTTGCAGATTACTTTGTGGAAAGGAACCAGTGATCTATGTCTTGGCCGATGGAGATGTTTGTTTGTGGTCTGAAAAACTGAATATTTAGGACACCTGCCTGGTTCAGTTGGAAGAGCATGAGACTCTTGATCTCTGGGGTCATGAGTTTGAGCCTTATGTTGGGTGTAGAGAATGCTAAAAAAATAAATAAGGAAAAACTTAAAAAAAATTGAGTATTTAGACATAGGTAGTCTCTTGTGGCTAGTGTTGTTTGGCCTGCATTGTGTCAAGACATTTTCCACAATTTTCATACGTGTAGACCATGTAAATGGTCAGTAGTCACTTCAAAGTGAAGTTAGTGGTTGGCCATCAAACAAGTTGTTACACAAAGTATTCTAAAATAAGAAGTACCTTCGTCTTAAAGGTTGAGGCAAAGTAGAAGTCTGTCTTTTAGCTGCATAAAGGCAGCTTTTTTCGTCTATCCTTTTGGCTGAGAAGCTAGGACACTATTTTTAGGTAAGGCTGTAGTTTTGGGGAGTCATTAAGTACCTCTCTGTCAGGTGGCAGACTTGTTTTTTGCCACTGTTAGCAAGGTTTTTCATTTTCTAATATCAAAAATATTCAGTCCGCATCATTATAAAGTCTGTATACATTGATGGACTGGCCAGTGTTTTACTGGAGAGGGGAGGGATGCAAAACAACAGGACAGATCATCAGGCAGAGGGCCTTGTGTAGTTTAAAAATACACAGCATATTCATGAAAGGCTAAGAATATTGCAGAGGGACCTACAAATAAGTAGACCAGATCTTGTACATGCATTTTTATTCCCTGTTTAAGAGGTAGGCTTGGTATTAATATTAAATGCAAGTTAGTCTATAATTGTCTGACTATATTTAAGATCCAAAGACGGGCTCAGCACAAGAAATCACATCCTTGGCCTCTTGTTTCAAATGCATAGAAGACTTTGGGCCGAGTTTATTAACTTGTTGATAAACAAGGTAGGGGGAGGGGCTACTTAAAAATTACGAGCAAATTGTTATGGTTGTTTATTCTCATAAACGTAGATAAGTGTGCCTGCAAATACAGTTTGATTTCTAAGTAATATTTTGAAATGTTTTCTGGGAAAGAACTATGTTATGTGTGGAGAATGTGGACACACCAGCTTACAGTTCATTTAAATTGATGGGTGTAGTCAGGATTTATGTAGCATTGGCTAGGAGCAACATAAAACACAGTGGTTTGTCACTTCAGGAGTGGCTGGGGTAATACTTCTGAGTAATCCTGAATTTTAATAGAGTTATTCCTTTTTTAACAAATTGTAGATGTTGTGTGAAGACTTTTAATTTCTATATGTAATATGATTTTTAAAAGCTGTCAGTTGTCTAAAACTAGCTGACAGTTTTTCAGAGTCATACTAACTTGTTTACTTGTATAAATTGTACTGGGTCATTTCTCTAAGAGCAGGAAGTTGTCTGGTAAAACCAACGTTTATATATTCATCCTGCTTTGAACCAAAAAAACCCCCGATTCATCATTAGATCTTCAGAGAATGCATGGCATCTTTTTTGACTGAACCATTCTGAAGTGTGAATGTTTGTGATTTTTGTTATTTTGGTGCCATATTTTAGGTGTTCTCAGCACATCTGAATTTGCCTTTTTGCTTTCTTCTGTGGAAATTCTCCTTGTGGTGACAATATTCCTGTAAGGGGAGCTTCCTGTCACTAGGCAAAATGTATAACTAACATAGTTTTAAACAGTTGTTTTTATGCAAAACTGACGCATGCTGTGGTAAACAAATTTGAACAGTACTTAAGTGTGTAAAGTAAAAAAGATGGGAAAAAAAAAAAAAGCCTTTGTTCCTTTTCCTCCATCTTTAGTTGTATTCCCTTGAGCTGACCATGGAAAGCAGTTGGTGTCATTTGGCTTTTGGAAGACCTGTTACTGGGTATTTATACTAGTAGTAGGGAAAGCAGAGGGAGAAGTCACGGAAGGCAGGACCACTGAACCAGTTTAGATGTTATGCAGGGGCTAACATCTCTTTCCTGCTGATGTTAAGTAATACTGATAATCGTAAAGTACCATCAGTTTAAGATAACTGTAATTGAATTGTTAGTGAGACACCCGGTTAATTCCATGGTCGGGATGGTACACTTTTGATTTGTGATCCCGTAAGGAAAAAAAAAAATGTTTGTGAATTGAATTTATATAACCTTAGGGCTGGGGGTAATGGTGGTAATTACCACCTGTAGAATTTTATGATAAACCACACAGTGTGTTTACTATAGTCTCTTTATAACTCATCATCTCTCCTTTAATTCTCGGAACAACGCGAAGATACTTGTTGTTATTTCTGTCTTGCCCAGGAGGAGATTTAGGCCAAATGTGAACAACTAGCTAACAGATGTCATGATGACTAGTAGCCTGTGGTGCTGGCCTGTCTTGGAAGGCCTGTGCTCTTCCCACTGCAATGTGCTCTGCTGCTCATCCCTGGTCTGTCTGATTTTCCAGATGAGGAGATTTAGGCCTGCAGAAGTCAAGTGACTTGCCCAAGGTCACACAGCTAAGTAATAGCAACAATAAACCAAACTTTTATCTCTGGTCTCTTATCTCAGGACTTTTGGTCCTGGCTGATCAGGCTACATTTTACTGAAATACTATGGACCAGAAGACCATACGCTGTGAATATTGGATACAAACGCTTCAGAACTGATACATCAGCAAAGGTGTTTTCTACTATGTATTGAAAAGCTTCCTTTTCTCTCTTTCAGAAATTATAAAGAGCTCTGATGGGCTATTTGGGTGATACCCAGTGCAGTGAACTGCAGGTGAGTAAGGTTTAGGAGAGCTCTATTTAGAAAACAAGAACTTGGTGATGCCTGAGGAAGCGAGGAGAGACTTTAAATGTAGAGTGTCTGGCCAGGAAGCATAAGCTGGGACAAGGTGCAGTGATGCTGGATGGTAGGGAAGCTGTGGAAACCTGAAGATGCGGGTCCTGACTGAATTGGCTGCTTCTGGAACAGACTGGATGAGGATGAACATACTCTGAGGAGCCCGGGGGCCGCTCTGCCAGAGTTTGTTTGAAGAGAAGCCAGGGTAGGTTAATCTTCTACTTACGTTCTGATTGAGTAACTGCACAGAGACGACTCCTATCTGCATATGATTAGAACTTGAGAGGCCCTTCAGTTTCTGAGTCAGCATTCTGGAGTGGTAATCCCCCTGTGCTCCCATGAACTTGGGGAAGTATTGAATAGTTTTGTTTTTCCTGTTATCTGCTGTGTGTGTGTTGTCACGAATGACTGTATATATCTGCATTTTTGTGCATCTAGATAGTGAGAACACAGCAATAGAAACAAAAGGCTAAACTTTCTTTCCTAATGGTTGTTTTAATTAGTCCTTCATATTTGTTGTCTTTTGCTGAAATGCCCTGCTAAGAAAGGCCATTTAATCTTCATTATTTGTAATTCACAAGAACTAATTTTCTTGGTCCATTATAGCATCTTGGTCTTTCATTTTAAATTTGGACAATGGTGATACTACAGCAAAAACAATTAGAAGACTGTTTTGATACTGTCCTTGTGGGGCGTCAGTGCTAAAATTATGTTTTGATACATTTTCAATGCTAGTCTTTTTTAGACCTCACCAGCTCAAGGAAGCTTCATGTGTTGATAAAATATCTTGCCATCCTGCCTTATGGCCTCTGGCCTCTGGTTTATAAGACATTGCTAGCTACTTTTTACCCATCTGCTTTAAGCTGGAGTTTTCAGTTTTCTGTTCTTTGTAGTTGGAATAACTTTTCGTTTTCCCTTTCACTGTACCTTGGTCTCTTGGCCCTTAGTTCTTTGATTTGTCCATGATTTCAGACTGCTTTTTGAATGTGATACAGTCCCTCACTGAGGCAGCAAGTTGGCTTTGAGAACACCTGAAACTTGAATGTGACGCTACCGTATCCTTTCAGGTTTTAGAATTGAATGTGGGCTTGGCTCTTTGCTGATTGTCTTTGTTTTTGAGGCTATGCTTGTTTTGCATGATTCATGGGTTCATGGGTGTGATCTGAAGACCATTCGAGATGGTTCGTTGGTCCTTGGAAAGCTATGGTCTGGGGTTGTCATATAGAGGTCATTGTGATAAGGAATGTGTGAGTTCTCAGGTAAGGCCAAAATGCTCAGTGATAGGTTGGACCTTTTCTTGAGGTTCTGTCAAGCTTGTATCCTGGAACCCCTCTTTCTTGAGTATGGGGGGACTTTCTTTTTTAAGTTAAGAGGAATGGATATTAAATTGTTAAATATTTAGATTATTACCATAAAAATCGTTCATTTTCTTTTTGGTGTTCCATTAAAAACTATATATGTATGTATACACGTGTACACATACAAGCATTTACATGTATATATATGTGTACATATATATATTTTATTCATGTCTAATTATAGTGCATGTAATTGGAATTTTTTCTGCTTGTTAGATCATGGAACATTTTCATGTTATAGGTGTCACAATTTTAACTTATATGCTTACATTTTGAAAGGGTGCAGAATATTTCATCAAGTCATGCTCCCATAATTTACTTAAATTTTTTAATGTTAGGTTAAACATGTTGCTCCCTGGTTTTCACTTAATACTTTAATCTACATTATTGTAGATGTTTATTATTTTTCGACTAATTATAGTTCTAGGACACATTTCTGAGTGTTGTGTTATAATTTTTTTTTTTTTAATGTTTATTTTTTGAGAGAGAGAGATAGGGTGTGAGCAGGGAAGGGGCAGAGAGAGGGAGACAGAATCCAAAGCCGGCTCCAGGCTCTCAGCTGTCCACTGGAGCCTGATGTGGGGCCTGAACCCACAAACCATGAGATCATGACCTGAGCTGAAGTAGGTTGCTTAACTGACTGAGCCACCCAGGCTCCCCCTGAGTGTGTTGTGTTAAATGGAATGAATGTTATGACTTTTGATATGTGTTGCCACGCTGTTTTTCAAGAATGTTGTACCAGTTTGTACTATTAGCAGAAACACGGACGTACCTGTTTTACCATAACTGGACAGAAATACATTTTTTCCTTAAAAGTTTTTGCTCACTGGGGCGCCTGGGTGGCTCAGTCAGTTGGGCATCTGACTTCGGCTCCGGTCATGATCTCACAGCTTGTGGGTTTGAGCCCGGTGTCGGGCTCTGCGCTGACAGCTCAGAGCCTGGAGCCTGCTTCCGATTCTGTGTCTCCCTCTCTCTCTGCACCTCTGCCCCCTGCTCACGCTCCGTCTCTCTCCCTCTCTCAAAAATAAATAAGCATTAAAAAAATATTAAAAAAAAATTTTTTTTTTAATGTTTATTTATTTTTGAGACAGGGAGAGGCAGAACATGAACGGGGGAGGGTCAGAGAGAGAGGGAGACATAGAATCCGAAGCAGGCTCCAGGCTCTGAGCTGTCAGCGCAGAGCCCGACGCGGGGCTCAAACTCACGGACCGTGAGATCATGACCTGAGCCGAAGTCGGATGCCTAACCGACTGAGCCACCCAGGTGCCCCTAAAAAAAATTTTTTTAAAAAGTTTTTGCTCATTTGGTAGTGTAAAATGGCATTTGCTTTTCTTTGTTCTATAGTGTTGAATTTCATTCTTTGAATCTCTTCATGGTAAATTGTGTGTATCCTCTGCTGTTTTGCGCAATACAGTATCGATGTAAGCTTTGGATAGTAAGGCGAGTATAACCAGGTGATGATAGGTAGTTAATAAAAAATAACCAGAACCAATTCAGTGAAAACGTTCAAAGAGGTCTAGATGGTCAGGGATCTTGGGGACAGTGGTTGAGGGGGAACAGATGGATTATTCCAAGATTCAATTCAGCAAATGTTTCTTGGGCATCCACTTTATGCAGTGTGCCACGTGCGTCCTCTGAGTGCTTCTCAAGTCGTCGTCTCGGCATCTGCCTGGTTGGAGGCGGAGGCTACTTGAGAATGCTTGAGACTTGACCAGTGGGGACTCTGGCTGCCGAAGTCGCTTTGTGGCTGCTTGGAGGGCCGAGGGGATCACCGTGTGGAATATCTGTAGCTCATTCATGGCATACCATCATGTCTTCACACAGTCTTTGAGAAACTGTCTTGTGAGGAATACGAAGATGAATAAAACCTATTTCCTACTCACAAGGAACGAATCCGCTCGTAGGGAGAACAGGGGCACCAGGAAATGAAAGGACTACTAGGAGTTTGATAGGTGCTCTAAAAGAGGTTCCACCAAGGTGCTTAGGGGTTAAGTAGAGGGAGTGATACTGTCCCGTTGGGGATATCAGGGAACACTTCAGTTGAAGAAGCGGCATTTAAATTGACCGGGGGGGCGGCGGCCCCCGAAGAGGAGAAGCGATGGAAGGAGGCATTCTGGAGGGAAGGATAGCTTGGGCAGAACCTGGGGTTGGTGCCAGAATGAGGTGGGTGCCAGGAAACTGTGCGTCTAAACTCGTTGGACCCTGGGAGACATAACGGAACGCGATGGAAGATGAGGCCGCAGAGAGGTCAGGACTGGGTCTTGGAGGGTGTTGAGTGCCAGACTGAGGATGAGTATGATGGGTTGGCCGTGAGGAGACACAGAGAGGGACTTAGTTGTGCTCATGGCAGTAGTTCAGGCGAGGACCTGAATTGAGTCGATGGCCTTGGGGATGGAAAGGAGGTGACAGATTCAGAAGATATTTTGGAGGTTGAACAGGGTTGTGGTGACTGATTAGGCAGGAGGGGAAGGAAACAGTCAGTTCTAAGTCAGAGGTGATGTTGAGGTGTTTATGCTTGGGTGGCTGGCAGAATGGGCATCAGGAATAGGGACATCAGAAGGAAGAACACGTCTTAGTGGTTTGGAATAGAGAAAAGATGAATTTGGTTTTGTTTGTTGAGTTCCAGAAGCTAGGAGAAAGCCGAAGTCAGAATTTTAGTCCTAGAAGGAACAGATGAGGAAGTTCAGGGCCCAGAGGCATTAGAGGAGCCAGAGAGGTCTCGTACTTACTAAAACCAAGCACACATGAAGCTTCCTGACTCCCAGTCCAGTGTCCCCTTCCCTCCCTCACTGCCAAGAGCTGAAGGTTGTCATCTGGCTGTTGTCCTCACATTCAGGTGTACTCAGTAGAAAGTTGGGAGTGGCGGAGTTTACGTTGGGGAATGAGGACTTGCTTTTTTTATTTTTAACTTTACAAAATTATTTTATTATTTTTTATTTATTTTATTTTAGAGAGTGAGCGAGCAGGGGAGAGGGAAAGAGAGAGAGAAAGAGAGAGAGAATCCCCAGCAGACTCCATGCTCAGAATTCCTGTTCTGCCTCAGACTTTGTGTTTTGGGCAAACCCCTGAAGTCTTCTTAGTTTGTGAGATGGAGATAAATAATATCAGCTTTGTAAAATCCCTTGAGACAAGGTATGTGAAAACCCTCTATGAACGCTAAACTTTGGGGCTAAATTATTATGCGGGTTTTTAGTTGTCAGTAGTAACAAAAAAGTCGTGCTCTTCAACTTCAGGGTTCTGTGTTGCTGGCATAAAGTGTATCTGATTCAACAAATTTTTATTTTCCAGCACATACTTAGGTCAGGAACCTGGGGCTTCAATAGTGAACAAAGCAGACAAAATCCCAGCTCCCATGGAGCTCATATTCTAGACCTGGGGGGTAATAGTGAGCTGATGCTTTTATAACAGTGGCGAGACACTGTTCTAAGTACTTTTATAATTTAACCTATTTAATTCTTGCAAGAGGCTTGCAAGGTAGGTACTGTTATTATCCCTATTTTGCAGATTGGGAGATTGAGGCAGAGCTATGTAGGTTGTCTCAGGTTGCCATGCCAAGATTGAAATTCAGGCAGATCTGGTTTCAAGCTTGTAAACTCTTTTTTTTTTTCTTAAATTTTTAATGTTTATTTTTGAGAGAGAGGGAGGAGAGAGCATGAGCTGGGGAAGGGCAGAGAGAGGGGGGGACAGAGGATCCAAAGCAGGCTCGATGCTGACAGCAGAGAACCCGATGTGGGGCTTGAACCCACAAACCACGAGATCATGACCTAAGCTGAAGTTGGGTGCTTAACCGACTGAGCCACCCAGGCACCCCCTCAAGCGTGCATACTCTTAACTCCTGTTCTGTAGA